TATTTATTACTTGACGACATCCGTACACTTGCGGTTTTCAATACATCAGCAGCCACAGTCCAGGTACCATGACTGGGCATTTTTTGTTTTTGTTGAACAGATCTGTAACATGCACTCTATTTCAGTTTTTGGTACTTTAATGGATTTGGGTCCATGAGTGTTAGCTCTGGAGGTTTTGGAATCCCCCTTCTTATGCATGTGATTGTATTTGGACGTAAAATGTCCATTCTTTCCATACAAGGGAGATGCGTATGTTCTTGTTTTGATTTCTGATTCAGATTCAACATATCCTAGTCTTGTTCTATCATTCCCACTCCTGGAGTGTTTCAGAAGAAGCTCAAGATTTTTGGTTCCTAGTGTGAATTTTGACAAATCAGATTTTAAGAGATCAATTTCTTTGTTAAGTTTAATTACTTCTTCTGAAGTTGAAAGGAGTTTTGCATTTTCATTTTTCAGTAAAAGGTTTTCTTTAAGTAGTTCCAAACTTCTTTTCTTTTGATCTTTATATGCAGTAGAAATCTTTGCTGAATTTGATAGAAGTTGATTGTATGCATGCTCAAGAATTTTAAATTCAGATTCAATTACCCCCTCATTATCAGATTTTGATGAGTCTATGTCTTCCATGAGATAGATATTCGCTTCTTCGTCTCCTTCAGACGATGTTGTGTCGAGGTCCTCCCAGGTGGCCATCATGGCCTTCTTCCTTTTGTAGGGAATCAACTTCTTCTTCTCTTTTTCTTTTTCTTTTTCTTTTTCAAGTTCTGGACATTCTGTCTTGTAATTTCCAGGTTTCTTACAGTCATAGCACAATGGTTGTGCCTTTTCTCTAGGAGGTTTGCTGTATTTTCTCCATCGTATTCCTCCCTTTTTCTTCATCATTGAATGAATTTTCCTTGATAGGAAGGATATTTCATCTTCTGTGTCGTAGGTCTCTTCACTGCAGCTTTCATCAGATGTATCATCGGCCCTTAGGGCTTTTGAAGAGGACGGTGTAGATTTTGTCTTTTGTACATTTAGTGCAATAGACTTTTGTTTTCTCCCAGCATCGTCTTGTTGCAACTCCAACTCATGAACTTTAAGCAATCTAATAAGTTCCTCCAGAGATAGCTTTTCTAGATTTTTGGATGCTCTCAGAGCAATAACCTGTGGTCTCCATTTCTTGGGTAAGCTTCGAAGTAATTTGTCAATATGATCAAAGCTATCATAAGTTTTACATAGGAAGGAAAGTTCATTAACGATGGTTTGGAATCTTCCAAACATAGCCTGTATAGATTCGTTTTCTTCGGTCTCAAAAAGTTCATACTTACGTGCCAACAAGCTTAGCTTGTTGCGTTTTACCTCTAGGGACTCGTATGTCAGAGTTAGGGTGTCCCACATCTATTTTGCTCTTCAATCTATTGTGCTCTAGGTTTCTCGTTGCCAGCTTGATCTAATGGAATGTAGTTTCCTTGCTCAATGACGTCCCACATGTCTATATGACATGCATCAAAGAACGCAATCATTCTTTGCTTCCAATAGTTATATTTTGCTCCTTTGAAGAGGGGTGGTCGGTTTAAGGCTTTTCCTTCATTTTCCATGATCATTACCCTTGCAGTGTTAGATGCTCAATCCAAGGGGTCAAGCTCTGATACGAAATGAAGTTAGCAAAAATACACACAGAAGGGGGGTTGAATGTGTGTGTTTGAGTTCGAAGGATGATTTTTCAAAAGTTGTTTCGCAAGGATAATTTTTTAGTAGGGTATTTAATGTTGGTTGAAAACTTGTGCAGGCTTTTCTGTCTAGAGGTTTTCTTTTGTTTAACAAAACTAATCTTCTAGTTTAAAAAGCAGGTTGAGTAAATTCGTTTTTTGTCTAAAAAGTTTTATCGTCCAATAAAAGAAATGTTTCAGAAGATCAAGTGTGTTTTCGTCTAATGATTTAATTAAGAGAAAAGTGAAAGAAAGACAAGGTAAGTAGGGTTGAAAAATGAAAAGTATGCACAGATGATTATACTGGTTCACTCAATCTGAGCTACGTCCAGTCTCCTTCCACCGAAGGGTTCCACTAATCATAAAAGATTACAAGTATTCTCAACCACTTCTGGCTCGTCAACCTCACTTGTCGACGCTAGTATTCTTAACCACTTCTGGTTTTCCAAGTACTCTTAACCTTTTTTGGCCCGCTAGGTTCACTTACTAGCACTAGTATTCTCAAACCACTTCTGGTTCACAAGTATTCTTTCTAACATCCTCTTCAGGCTTTACACCAATTGAAAGTGTTGAGTGTGTTTGCAACTCTCATAGAGAGGATAAGGTAGTTTCTACACTCACTAAGGTGCATAACCTTAGTTTTACAAAGATAAGTGTCTAAGTGTTTGTTTATTCTCGTAGAGAGGATAAACTATTAGAAACACTCACTAAGATAAGTTATCTTAGTTTTTACACTGATATACAGGAAATGCTTTGAGAATAATGACTTATGCTCTTTTGCTTCCTTTTTCATATTGCACATTTTCTCTACTTCTCTATTCTATATCTCCTTTTTCTTTTTCTTGATACTTTGATAAATCTGCCGATTGTTTGAATTCAAATTTTCTCGTTGCAGCGTAGCTTCGTGTCGTTGCAGATAGAGGCTTCGTTCATGGTCATGTAAATCTTCTCATTTAATGCATTTGATCTTTCATTAAATGTTTGCTTGTATTCGTGGAGTCTCTCTGTGTATTTGATTACTTCAATATCTGACTTCAATCATGATCTAGGTATATTTTTACTTTCCTCATCAATTTAGCTACTGCGGTGCTAGTAGGTGTCCTTTCTCTGACGCACTTAGCTTTGACTTGTGAATCCACGCTTGCCGATTTTCCCTTTTTTGTATTCATGTTGATTTCCTCTTGTGTTTCTTGTATGATTAGTGGACTTCAGACGTGTTTCATTATTTTTTACTACGTCTGGATACATGATACTTCGTCTAATCTTGACTACCC